CGCAATCTCATTTTCGCAGACGCACCAGGTACCAGGGTTTGTCTGACATCGACACATAAAAGTTGTGAAGTTCTAAAAATGCAAATTCTTGCTGAGAGAACGGCTGCAGTAAGCCTATGAAAACTTCGGTTCTGATGGCGCTGATAAAAACTAGCAAAGAGGCTTAGGGCAGATTCATGGCATGTTTCAATATTCACGCTACATTAACCTTGTAATTCAGTGGAGAAAAATCAGCAACTGGTAGAATTTTGGTCGCCAAATTAGTGTGTTGACGGTTAGCCAAATCTGAGCTGTACTTCCTATCGCCTGCATTAACTTGAGCCTCGAACACTGCGTTTTGCGCCTCTGCAAAACCTCAGCTCTCAGCAGAGTTTTCCGGTTATCAATCCCAAGCATTAGTTTTACTCACTGACGCTCGCACACACACGTGCGCTTGACACCGCTGATCCTTCTCTCTCCTCGGTCATGTGGGTACGCGAAAGACAGGGGGACAGTCCTCCTGTTGCTCCAGTACGGGAGCATACTGGTGCTGTTAAACCAAACAAGCCTAATTGCTCGTCTTAGAAATGTGAAACCCAGGCTGGATCATGCAGCATGCTCACTTGGGAACAAGTGCAGACAGACAGTCAGGTTTGACGAAGCTGAGCTTGCCAACCGGATGGTCGACAGCTTCCAGTGGACTGCATGCAGAACCAGGGTGCGACGGTCGGCACTCAAGTGTGCAGGCGGCACTGGAACAAAAGATGCCTTTTGTTCGGACCACAAGTGATCCCGGCAGCATGAGCCTAAAATCATACCGATTGCAACTTCAGGACTTACCGCCATTTGGGCTGCAGCAGACATCATCAGTAAACTCAGATGTTTCTTGCAAAACATGACAACTCCTACGAATATTCAGTAAATGGTTCTGGGCTGTTGGAATAACACAACTGCGGTTCACCAGTTTTAGATCATTGATGGCAGTCATCGTTAAAATTAGCCACGAATTAAAAATCTTTTGATTGGAATTCACTGGACAATGAGAGGATTTTGTGGTGTAGTTCATTTGATTATGTGTTGAATCTAGTGATACTACAGTTCACATCGCGGGTTGTCTCGTTTGTGGCATGATTAAGTCGTAACTATGCTTATTCCTATTTATTGCAGAATACACGTAAGATTTTCATTACGCTGATTTGCTGTTCAAGACTGTATTCAAATTTGATCACATGTATGAACAAGCCCGGTGAAGCACAAAGACTTAACAAGTGTCATTTAGCCCTCATGACATCAGACATCGCTTTGATTTGAACAAAATCCCCTCATAATCGAACAGATTACTTACCTGGCAAAACAGAAGGAAAATATTTCTTCCTCAATCAACCTCCGCCTAAACATAGCGCCCACAAAGGTTTCGGGAAGCTGACCTCCTGTATGGGCAGATAAACCCACAATACCGTGAAACATTTGACTGCCAGGAATATCATCGATTATATACTGGCCAAGACCGAACGAAAAATCACTTATCTGCCTATCTCCAACCTGTAAAAATCGCAATTACACAGTAACCATAAGTGAACGAAGTACGAAGATGTGGTCAGATCCAAGGGTCCCTGCAACTCTTCCGGCAGCATACTGGAGGTCAAATCTCTCCCCTGTTTGGTGGTATGTTTCCGAACCCCTTGGATCAAATCTTTGAACAAAGGTGTCTCCCTCTGCAACCATATCGGTTGACCCAACCCATAGCATTGAGGATCCGGTATCAAAAGCCACCCTGAATGATCGCTTTGGCGTTCCAATTTCAATATTACCGGTGTAGGTAACCTAAAACAAATAATAGATTAGACCTTAGTTTTTCACTTACGGGAGTGGTTTTTTCAAGCAACTGAAAAATTCGGCGCTTACCACGATAATTTTCCCTGGAGGATAAGTACAGCGGGATACTGTGATCAACTCGGGTTTTTATTCTCAAAAAATCAACTTACCTGATTTGTGCACTCGCCCACCCATAAAACATCAAAAAGACAGCAAACTTCATCTCTTAGTGCTCCTTTTCGGCTGGCACTTCTTTACTGGCTATACCGAATAAGAATAAACCAGTCGCGGTTAGCCTCGCTATGTCACAGTGAATATCATTGAGACCGATTGGACAATGTGAACAAACTAATTGTGGCACAAGTGATACACAGGGGGCTGGTTAAACTCATGAGTCCTGTTTGACAAAGGAATGGTCACGTGCAGAACATATGTGATCAGTCTAGTACTCAAGTGAAACGCTACTCATAAGGTTACTGAAAACTCATCGAAATGGCTTTCTTTGTTGGACTTGTCAGTTGAGCATACTCCCAGGGTTTCTGTCAACTTTGTTTCATCTAGTTGCAAAATTTTTCGCATTTGGTGATATGTGCCTATTTAAGAATAACAATGGTTTTATCGGGGAGGGGGGAGGACTCAACTGAATCTCCAGTTTACGATGAAATCTTGGGTTTCTGCGACCACCCGATGAGCCTCAGTGACGTTGTTGTTAGCGCGTTACGCCGAGCATATCGAGTGTCACATTATCACGAATATCGTACCGAATGAAGCACGAAGTGACTTTTGTGCAGTACATATATTTGATAACTGTCATAAACAAGAAGTCCGAGTGACTATCACTTTGATTCCAGTGTAATTTGCAAATGAGTGTATTTCTTACTCACCTTGATTCTAGTACTCAGTGAAACGCTACTCATAAGGTTACTGAAAACTCATCGAAATGGCTTTCTTTGTTGGACTTGTCAGTTGAGCATACTCCCAGGGTTTCTGTCAACTTTGTTTCATCTAGTTGCAAAATTTTTCGCATTTGGTGATATGTGCCTATTTAAGAATAACAATGGTTTTATCGGGGAGGGGGGAGGACTCAACTGAATCTCCAGTTTACGATGAAATCTTGGGTTTCTGCGACCACCCGATGAGCCTCAGTGACGTTGTTGTTAGCGCGTTACGCCGAGCATATCGAGTGTCACATTATCACGAATATCGTACCGAATGAAGCACGAAGTGACCTTTGTGCAGTAAATATATTTGATAACTGTCATAAACAAGAAGTCCGAGTGACTATCACTTTGATTCCAGTGTAATTTGCAAATGAGTGTATTTCTTACTCACCTTGATCGCTATTCTGCTCAAAACCCACAACATTTTCAGTGCTTAGGAGAATGTACAGGACCGGTGTAATCTACTCGACTTATCTTGTTGGGGAAACGCGAAGGAATGAACAAATTGTGCAGTGTTCTGATGATGTTGCTTGAAGCTTGTTATACGATAGCCTTCCACACGGTATAACTGAAGTTCCGGATGAATGTTTTGTTTAACACTGAGTACCGAAGGAATAGCCTTCCGCTCCGTTTGTACCAAAGAAACTTTTTGCTTACAACCTAAACGTTTCCAAGATCCAAAAATGCCGGTTTATCTGAGCAAAGTATAGTTCAAAGGCTGAAAGCTTACGCCTGACAATTTGATGTATACCAATCCACAAGTTCAGATGAACTGCCACAAAAACTGGACTCAGAACACCATACTAGCCAGTGATAAAAGGTACAGTTTTACGGTAGGTTGTCGACCTGATGTACGAATATTCTCACCTGAAGGGAATAGTGTTTGCATAAGAACATGTATTCAAAGTGATGGCAGAACTGACGAAAATCGGTAAGATACACTGAGGGAAAATTAAGACAAACCAACACAGAGTTTTTGATCAAACAAATCAGGATACTTAACGGAATTCTGTAGGTTGTCCCTTCAAAGTAACAGTATTTGTGGCGGTAAGGATGCCTCTGGTGCAGACAGAAGTGACAGAAACCAATCATGCATTTACTAGTGGGGAAAACATGCCAACCCTGGGAGCCTCATTTAGTCCCGAACGCTTGACTGCTACTGGTCAACCAGGACATAAATGCATTCACTGTTCAGCGTTATTGTGAGCGACTATTAGAAAACTCTTTCTACATTGACTGGATTTATTTCAAACGACAGTCATTAGTCAACAGTGACTTTGGTCGTTACCTGATTTCGGAGTATAGATGGCGCGATAAGCAGCGCTGCTACGTGTTATGACGCCTCCCCGTACATAACCTTAAAGAGTTCAGTTCCCCTGAACTGAAAAAACTCCTGTCTGTCTGTATCTTTTCAGATCCATTCATTTGTTTCGCAAACCGTTTCTGTGCTATCCACGCGGTTCAAAGCTTGGCTCTTATCCACGTATAATACAACCTGATCTATCATTCCTGGATTACCTGACGAGAGGAACTTTTCAAAGAAAAAACTCAAAATTTTTTAGCTTCAGTTCTAACCTCATTAAAAATAACGTTCTGGCCTCAGTCCATTATTTCATTCTCTTTTATTGCTGTACGGTCGATTCGGATAGCCCCTTTTCCCCTCCAGAAATTGATCGACCATGTTATTTGACAGAAATATAACACTAGAGAATCCTGCTTCTTCGATTCGTTGAAACATAAGTATCTCGCGGGATGAGTTTATCGAGTTTTGGGTCACGATGGCTATGGAAAAAAGATGGTTTTCAAATGATAATGCTGTGGCAGCATCATTAGCGAAGGTTAACTCACCCGCTCCTTTCGAAACTCATAGGAGTTATCGGAAGCACGCTTCGCGCCTGGTAGGGTTCATACCTCACACACACCCTTCCCAATGTTGTATTTGGTTAATCACTGTGCCCTTTGGTCAAGTCATCTAACATTATTGACCGCGAATCCTTCTGACAAGGTAGTCTCGTCTTGACTCCCTATCCGTCATTTTCCGCCCAAAACTAGTTCAAAAGTCAAAATTACGATGAACTTCTAGTTTTGTCATTACCTATCTCTACTATTGGACGTTTGTGTGATTTAATCAGTTAGCGACGGTTCGGCTTGAGAGTGAATGTCATTATGTTGAATGGAGGCTAAACAACTTTTGTCATTTTCTCATTACACTACAGTAGCATATGGCGGTCGTCTTTCCGTTCTAACCATTTTAAAATTTCGCAGGATATAAGAGACATCTATCCGCAAAAAAAAACGCAAACGAACCGTACGGTAGTACTCTGAGCCGGACTCTGTCGGAGAACGCAGTCCAGGTTGGTGACTTTGGTTTATTCCAGTGGCTATTCAAGCGTAAATAAGCTGGATATGATTGTGATTAGGATGACGATTGTTGTTGGTTCGATATCCCTGTCGATTGGATTTTGGACGGTGAAATATCGCAGTGATTAACGCAGCTTCTCAAGGCAATTTAGAAACGTCAAATAGGTCTCCACTTGGTTTTACGAATCGACTCTTTAGACTGCAGTTCAAGGCGGTTGGACCTACACATTGATTCCAACAACGCGGCGTCCCAAAGCTACCTTGAATAGAAAAAACTGTGGCCTCGAGAACCTCAGGAAAAGGAAATTTCTTGTTTCGTTCTCTGATGTTGCTGATGTTGTTGATCGAGTACTTTATCACAAATACGTCTTCCCTCCATAACTTATGTGACATCATATAGATAGGAGTGTCGATCATGCTCTAGCCAAAAGATCGGATCAGGCAGTTAACAGAAGTAATAAGCAGGTAGACAGTCTGTAAACAAAACGGTCGTTCCAGATACAAGTGCCAAGAGTGGTTGGATGTGGACGAATGGGAAGTTTGAAGTAACAGCATGATAGCATGTCACGCTTTACGGAATCTGACCAGTGCTTTTATACTAAACATCCGATCAAATCGCAAATCCAAGCCAAAACATAAACCAGACGAAAATTTCTTACTATTGACCAGTAGTCAAACGATTGTCGGAGTTAATCAACAGCTGGTTAGACGAAGAGTTCGACACCGGATCAAATTAGCTTATCTCAACAGATGTGTGGGCTATAGGTAACAGCCTGCAAAGTTAGTCATGCAGTCCCGTCTCCGAACTTCTACACCTGATTGATAAGGTGCAGCAAGGATGAAATCGCCCACCTGCCTGAGTTTTTTCACACTGCCTTGCTAGATGGCAGTCACCAAATTATCAACAATGGAGAAGTTTGCTCCAGGAAGACGGTGATGTTAGCTTTTCGTAATACCAATTTATATGGTGTGAAGTTCTAGTGATCCACGACCAGCAAGCCTCGAGTTATTTCATAAGTGTTGATTCCGTCGTGAAACTATTATCCCAAATGATCAGATGTTTGTCGACGTTCCTAGAGAATTTGTGATTTAAACAATCCATGAATGGTCCTGGGAGAACCCTGTTCCTAGCTCATTAGGACCAACAATATATACTAACCGAAAATATCAAATATGTTACCTCTCTACAACACCCACACACCTGCGTCATGTTGATGTTTAAATTCAACTTATTGTAGGGACACTGTCGACCGTGGTAACTACTGTCTGGTTTACTGTAGCAGTAACTCGCGTGACATTGCAGCGGGAAGTACAGCGGGGGTACAGAAATACAAAACCATCCCACTTAGCTAGTGACCGAAAGCGAATCATGCTGCGGTCACACAATTGTAAAACCAGTCTAAATAAGGCCAAGGCACTAACTTAGACAGATCAGAATGCAATGCACTTTGACGAGTGAAAGTAAGAAATAAGGCATGAAAAGAACAATAGATACGAGCCAACCACAACGAAAGAACCAGAAATGCTCAGCGTTCCAAACAGAATAATGAAAATAATGGGCCAGATGTAACATCGAAATAGACTTATTTCCAACCCACCTGTGATCCCTCCCAGACTACTTCATTTTTTTAATTGTGTTGCGTTTATTTTGTCATGATCCGCTGATTCAAGCCTTCTAAATACACATTCCTCTTAAGACTTTTCCGCCCTTCAAACTTTCGCTCTCTAAATATCCCATCCAAAATTCCTTATTTTGGTCAGAATGAACGACCGATCACGCACTGCAGTGTGACCGCGACATCACCCACAACTAGCCGCTTTATGAGCCGTTTCCCCACTCTACCTTCACGCTGTTGGTAAGTTCAACCTCATAGAGACTCTTCCGAAAGGCCGAAACTAACGTGAGGGCGTTAGGTTGCCTGCTTCTGCAGTCAGTCAACTAGATATGTGGTCGAGCGAATGTATATGCACCTCCAAACTAGTCTTTAGAATGGACAACAGTGTAGTAGTACCACTTACTTTAGCTCACGTAATGGGCACGAAACAGCTACATCCGTGTTCACAACTATCTACAGAGTACCAGAAAAATCACCGAGGTTTATCGGAACACAATTCTGTCCACTGAAGAAGCCCTCAGCATAAGAATTGAACAACCGCGCTGGTATAGAGGTGAAGTGCTCGGCCACTAGAGGATACCCTACGGAATTGATTCTTTGATGAGAGCTCCTAACTAAAAAGAAGCACTTTTTCGATCTACACCTGTGTGGAAGATCTTTCCTGCTCCATCACAACGTCAAGGATGAACGGTGGAACAAAAACAGATATGAAGAACAGGGGACTTTGTTGAGTACCTTCGATTGTGAGGGAAATTATGAAATCTCTCCTAATCTGCCTTAACCTACAAAGTGCTCTCATGCGTTCAAAGTAAAGGGCTGAATGGACTTAGTCTACACTGAGGGCACATAACAAACTGAAGCCGGGGGTTACATTTTAGTCAACTGGGGTTCCAGTCTTTCGCAAAACCAAGTTTGTTTAAAAATGCGTATAGTTCGCTAATTTCGTACAATTTATGTTCAATTAGAATATGAGGTTGACAGAAACTGGAGGAATGTGCTTACCTGATGAGTCCCAAGAAGGGCGAAATCGGTCAGGGGGCTGTCGAAGAGTTTCCAGTAACCTTATGAGTAGCGTATTAAGTCTACACATGTATCGCGATATCTCGAATATCGCACGAACCGAAACATGAGGCGACCTGGTGCAGCACGTTCAATTGCTTGAAAAGATCATTAACGAGGGATTCAAGTGGATTCCAGGTGAGTTTTCCGGAAAACCAAATTGTTTTGCAAATGAGTGTATTTCGCTAATACCAGGAAACGCTATTCTTTCAGGACAGCCTGAGGGATTTGAAATTGTTTTCAAAAGAGTGTATTTCGCTAATACCAGGAAACGCTATTCTTTCAGGACAGCCTGAGGGATTTGTTTTCTTCAGAAAAAGACAATACTCTTTTCGAGTGCTTCAATAACAGAGCAATAAGGGTTAGTTGAATTTCCGAATTATTATTGGTGCTGTATTTTTGAAAAACGATTGCTTTTGCTATGGTGCATGTGAAATATGGATCAACTCGTGTACTCGTACAAGTCGCCTGGCAAAAACTGCGCGTTGCGAACATAGATCTAGTCTTTTTTCTAGCCCACTTGAATTCTAGTTATAGATCTTGATCTTTGCAGACTAAATGTGTTACTTATAGCTTGAACTACCTGAATTTATCCAAGAAATAATGGTTCTGTACTCAAAAGTAGCCTGTGCCAACCCGTGCTAGCCAACAACAATGCCTCCCTATTTTGCCTAACTAAAAATGAAATCGTGTTGAAATTTCGGACTCTCTTCGATGACACCATTTTATGCACTACAGATTGCACTGTCTCCGATAGTCCCATAGGTTTGATGACTACATAAGAACACAACAAAATGGCACCCCCTTGTTCTCTCATGTGTACCGAAGTAACCCGTTCTCAGGAAATTAGATTATATATCCTTAATCCCACAATCGTTGTAAGATGCCAAGTTTGATTTGATATGATTATGGTACTTTATTTTACATTGCTGTCATCCATCTTTTTGGATCAGTCGTCCAAACATGTTCCAGTATGTTAGCGTAGATATGCGGACTTATATTAACTGTCTCAATGAATCTAATTTATTCAGTGGGGAAGCATGTCTTATTCGGCATCACGATCAGCATTTTCTACTACCTAAAATAAATAAAGTAGCACTCGAATATGTGATGTTTTATGCACAACCAATGCTGGGAAGCTCACCGCGCCAATGAGAAAGTATTCACATGAGTAAGATTTCGGGCAAATTATTGGTTGTGGGATGTTTGTTTCTTGTTTCCTTTTAAAATTATGGAATTCAGCCAGTTCCCGTACCAAAGGGAAGTGCCACGTCAAACATTCGTCACGCCCCGTTAGAATGAGAGTGCCTGAAGCCCCCAACCAGGACACTTATCGTTCTCTCCGTTTTCTGGATTGGATGCAACTGACAGCAATTCTTCAAACAGCTTTCTTGGTGTACGGCGGTAGTGGGACGCACAGACAACTTGCGGTTTATTCAGTCATCCCATCTACATGCATCATTTCTTCTGGTCATTTAGTGAGTAACTATAAGGATTTCTTTGGGTATGACTTTGATCCACGTTGTGGTAGCCCAGTTAATTGTAACCAAGATGATAACCTAAACCAATATCAGATTTGAAAAAAACATTTAATATCTTGGATTGTTCGTTGAAGGGGATGCGAGTTCTATTGAGTTCAAAGAGTAACAGCAAACTTCTTCCCCTATTTTGGTTACACTCATCAGTGCAGTAATTCGTTATCTTCACAGCTGAACAGACTCGCTTCTGTACACACTTTCTGCGACCCTATTGAACCAGTCGTCAGAGGATGACTTCAGCTGGCAATTTTGCGACTTTTTAGTTTGGAGACTTCTCAGTCACGCTGGTGCCTTGTTAGAGAGTGTATGGTCATTTAATGTTTTCCTTGTTGTTTGTCCATCCCCATTCTGGTTCGTTTTGCGCTAGCGTCCCAATCACTTGCACCACCCTACGGCTTTCATCCGTTACTCAACTAACTTTACCCAAATCATGCTGGAACGCTTCATCATGTCAAGCTTGGTAATAACTAACACCCAAGTTCAGTTGTACCCTACCGGGATCTCGCCTCTTCTGGAACAGTCTGGTCATTTCAGTTTTATCCTCCAAAGTTAGGAATTTCTTTACTAGTCTCCTGATCAGTTGATTACGGGTGGAATGTTTGAAATGGTCAACCATCCGGCTGGATTAAAATCCCAGAGTCAAGAGGGTAATGAAACGCCATTCCTCGTCCAAACAGCGGTGAGAAAGGTTACACCATATAATCTGTACCACTCAGCCAATCGCTACAGCAGAAACGACTTTGGGCTTCGGATCTAGTGACTATTTCTACCTGTGAGTTCGTTCGAAAGGGGTTCTGGAGGCTTATACCGCAAGTCAAACCAATGCAGCATTAAGATTGCAGATCGCTCTACGTCAACAGTTTCCGATAAATCCAATGGGGCCAACTAATGTTGGCCACAGCACTAGCGACACAGTAAACGCTGTTGCGAGGGACAAGCTTGCAATGACTTTTTCGCTAGCTAGATTGATCTCATCCATTCAAGTTTGACTGAGTGTACGCCTGTTGATCACTTCGGGGCTGTTCAGACACTTTAGGGCTGGTTTTTTTTAGTACAGGGGTTTTCATCCATTCTGAATATTTTACCTGGATAACCGCTTATACAAGAAAAATGGATTTTGCAGAGAAGTCTCTCGTGCGCAAGATTTGGGAATAAGAGGAAGAGGCAGCGTATAAAAAAAGCAGGGTTGTGGGAAGCTCACTGACGGAATACACACATTGATCTCGATTTCATGTGATTTCTCCAGTAGGGTACACTTGAGATGGGTTATTACAAAGCTTGTCCTCCAAAACGTTTGATATTGTACTCGCACAGATAGACATAAAATTATCATTCTATTCAGAGAACACTGGCTTCTGAGTATATCGTGGCAAGTTTCGCGTTGTCCATTTAGCACAGGGTACTCGTAACATGGAGAAAATTTCAGTCCCCCTTTACGTACCTTAAAATATTCATACTTTTAGTTAAAATGGCGTCCTCTCACCGTAACTGTCTGGGCCTCAGAGACACTTCACAATAACACTCTAACCGGTCGCAGAGTTTGTAACTGATCGACTGAATGGCATTATTGGTTTATACAGACAATATAATTCTAACTTGGGAGTCATTGCGTCATGTTGGTAGACACAAACCCCCTCCCCATTGTTCGAAGGCACAGACTTCAGCCTATTCGCTGAAGTATTTTTGGGGCTCACTGGTTGGAGCTCGTTTCTTGATGAATTGGCCAGTCTCAAATGTAGCCGTTAGCGCTGTGCAACTATTCGATATAAAGAATCAGAGATTTCGATGGGATGTTACATCGGACCATTCTTATTCCCAAGCCACCCAAATTCGTGACAGTTGATTTGATGAGACATTGTCACCTGAAGTGGAGTGCGAAACTGATCGAATCGGACTAATCACGTGTTATTAGGAATTCATATGTCAACAACTGGGACGAATGGCTTGGATAGTCGGAGTGTAAGTAGTTCTCAAACACGCAACCTATTACTCTTTTGTGACTAACTGGAGGGTGTTAGGTCGATTTTATAGGATTAGTCTCAAGCTGATTTGCTTGGTGGTTTGGATGTTTTTTACCAAAAAGTCCCACAATCACTTACTACACTCACTTGCATATCCTGTTTGAAGTAGAGATGACTTCCGACTCGACGCACTCCGCGGATTCCCAAGCCTTGCTCGATTTTTAAGGATAAAAAAATTGTTCTATGGCCTTTGTTGTTTAGATCTATACATGGCCAATGCTGAAAGACATTACGAATTATGCTGTCACTCAGACGGATGTAGTAGGGCTGGACCAGTGATGTATTGGAATATGTATAGGCATAAAAACGGCACCGTTACAAAGAATTTTGGAGTTTTCTGTCAGGCAGTAACGGAGCAAGAAAAGGCATGTGGTTCGAAGTGGTTGTTAACGACGTGTGCGTCGCATTATCCAAAGATTTTTTTAATGTGTAACTGTCAGGAAAGTAATTATTTATTTACTGGAATGAAGCAAGCGGAGATGCCTGATCTGGGTATTCAGTCCAATAGCGCAACTACCATCCATTCCATTGCAAAGGTCTTTCAAGTTTAGCTGGGCTCTAAAAGCAACGTAAAGGTGCTGGTTGAGTGGTTACTCACTTTGGTTTGATTATTAACCCCTACCAAAGCGGGCAGTAACCATAGCCCGCACAAATGTTGTATGATAGTCAAAACTGTAACTGTGTGGTGATGCATTTTCAGGAGTGCTACCAAGATAGTTACCCTGTGATAATCTGACAACAGCACATAGTGACCGTCACGGTGGCAGTGGTCAAAACTGTTAACAAAATAAGCGACATATTGGCCACGGGTCATAGTTTAACCTTCTGTTACCCTGATTTCATGTGCAAACCCACATTAGCCAAGTGAATGAATCCGGCTGTTAGGGTAAAATCTAAAAGTGAGTTGCTTGTGAGCGACTGGTGGACCAGATGAGTTACACCGACTTATAACTAATTACCCACAATCATACCATGTAATGTCCACTACTGCAATCTACGTCGTTCAGAATAATCGTAATGAACCACACATTGTTCTCACTGATACAGAATAATTAGAGAGATCTCGTGAAAACCGTCATCGGACTTTTGGCATTCAAGCAGCCTTCCTACTTTAGGACAAAGATCCCTGTCACAAATATTTCTGTCGCAACAAAGCTATCTCATATGGACTAGCTCACACACTGTTCTCAGAGCCATTTCACCTCCAGCCACTGGAGGTTCACCCAGTGGTTCACGATTCGTGGCTGTGAGCCGTGTACAAGCACGAACGACAAATTTCTTCCTGTATGAAAAAGTGGAAACCAAAACCATTTCTTCTGCAACACTGCCTCTTTCAGAGTTGTTAAGCTTAGGGCGATCTGAGGTTAACAAACTAAAGACGCATTTTCTCTATGGTAGGTTTTGACATCCAGAGTGCGACAAGCTGTCGCAGTCTGAAAACAAACAGCGAATCACTTAGCTTAGTAAATTAGACTGATCCAGCAATTTTATCTGTAAACTCAACTAAATGTGAGCGACCACGTGTTTGCTTGCAGCTTTTATATGGTTATCATCGAGGATTACATGAGTATCGAAAGTTTATACCTGAACTGGAAGTAAAACGGAATATGGTGAAAAAGCTGGTCCTTTGCACGCTCCACCCCTGAGGCATCTTGTCTTAAAGAGACACATTTGTGATGTGACATTTCTAACCGTAGATTATAGAGACACCATGCACGCCATCCGGAGCGACAAGGTCGGTGATGTCAAATATATCAAAGTTCGGTCCCCCAAAAGGTACACAATGCACTTTGAACTTACCACTATGTGAGTTTCTACGCACAGTTAGAGCAGAATCTCTTGGATTTCCTCCAACACGCAGTATCCTATGGTAACCAACAAAACAAGCGACCATGAAGAGGACGTGGCCCGTCAGGTGCCTGCTTTCCCCTTCTATTCACTTCGTTTATTCCAGCTGCATCTGAGACAAACTGCTTACAGTTAATTTTTTCACGGCAGTGAAGCATTGGTGTTGAACATTGATGCCATGTTGTCGATGATGATGAGGATGACAGTTAATTTTATCAGAAAATTATCACATTTTAGCTACGAGCCCCCTTTCATAAAACTTGGGCAGAAAAACAACTATAATTTATGCACACGCCTTTGTAAATTTTTCTCTCCCCTCAGCGCTTTTGGATCCCGCTATTTGATCCTCGTTGAAGATTGTAAGGCACATTTTCCCCCTCAATCGAGCCAAAATGTAAAATTTCCAGGAATGTAGCCTCAAGCCAATCAGTAGGCTCACCTAGGAGCTGAAGAAAATTTATGTGGTCCACCGGCATTCTTCTGGTCTACTGTCAATAATCTAATCCTGATTCGTCCATTAAAATGGTCCATATACCATGGCTTGGTTCTCACCAGAGGCAAGCTATAGTGGGGAAACAGCCTGAGAGAAAATTGTAGTCAACAACTCTGCGCCACTCATCACTATAACTTGGGGTCGTTGAACACTGTATCTTTTGTTCCATCCATCACACTCGACTTGCTCGCTCGCTCACTCATTATGTGCATACGTGAACGAGCGCGCGAACACACAAGAACGCACGTGGTTGTAGCAGAGTTTTAGTTCGACAGAAGGGAGCCTGCGTGAAAAACTCTGAGCCAGTTGGTAATTAAACGAAGCATAAATGGACGACGGGAGCCCGGCAAAGTGGCGGCAATTCATTACGGGTTTCAGACGTGAACAGCAGCAACATTGACGACAACGACATCTGTTGCCCAATTTCGATGTGTAGTGTTCAATGAAGGGGGTACGGGAAATGTCTTCGCGTACCGCCAAATTGAAAAGGAAGTGTGCTTTGCATTGTACGGCAACTCCTAACAGCCTCATTCTTTTTTTACAAGGTATTGTGACAGATGAGGCAGTCTAGCACTTCGTTTGTTAAGTGCCTTACCAGACGGGTTTTCTTCACACGGGTAAAACATCAAGTTACAAATAAAACAGAGAACCATAAGCACTGAGGAAGATGAAATTTATTGATCAATATCGGTCGCGCTTTCCTCACTCATCTCATTTGTGAGTCTCAAGGTTATTTCGAGTTGATTTCCACGACCTTTGTTATGCCTTTCATCTGAAGGCGTCTAAACACGAGACAACATCTTACGCACCCCATCTCTCCCGATATCTAAGGAACTCTTTGCGATTGGTGCACTTTCAAGACCCCTCGCATAGGCAGAAGAATAGACCTTGTTCTATAATATAACATCGGTCATTCGACGCATGCCAAAACCACAAGTTACTTCCAACTGGAAAATATTTGGGACCGATTAGGAAGTCGTCGTTTCAGAGAGGTTTGGTAAACCCACCGATTGTTTACCAAACCTCTCTGAAACACATGTTACTTCCTTATCCTCTATTTCCTTCCCACATTCACCCCACTCCCTTGTCAGATGTTCAATCTTCGACAGAAGCCAATTAGTCCGTCTTGATTTCAGGAAAACTCTCCGATAGCCAATTACCGGTCTCATCTTTCTTGCAGTCCATCCGATAGACGTAGTTTCACAGTTTTCATCAACTCCAATTCTACTTGAGTACCATACTGTAAGCATTTGCGAGATGCAAAGACAGAGAGTTCTACTTGGTTTTAACGGAGAATTCAAGTTAATCCCAGCTAGG